CAGCGCTGGTCCCAGTACCGACTCCAGTTTAGAGACAAGTAGTTGCAAATGCTTCAGCTAATAGAGTGGAATTTAGTGGAAATACTGGTGTAAGTTTTTTTTAAAAAGAAAAAAATGATTTGCTGTTTGAATCAGTTTTGAAAAATTTGCAAGAGTAGACTTTGAATGGAGACTGATATTTGGTACAGATCACCTTCCTTTAAAGACAGTCTGTAGATGCTGTGCTTGGATATGCTGCCTGTTGTTGTGTCCCCCTACATTTTAGGACTAGATTCTAGGACTAGGTGAGGTGAGAAAGACATCTGACTGAATTGTGGATTTGCTGTTTGAATCAGTTTTGAAAAATTTGCAAGAGTAGACTTTGAATGGAGACTGATATTTGGTACAGATCACCTTCCTTTAAAGACAGTCTGTAGATGCTGTGCTTGGATATGCTGCCTGTTGTTGTGTCCCCCTACATTTTAGGACTAGATTCTAGGACTAGGTGAGGTGAGAAAGACATCTGACTGAATTGTGCTTTGTTGTACTTGGCTAGTGAGGATACTTCAAAGCCTTTGCCTTCATCAGGAACGAAGGGAGTAAATCGAGATCAGCTGCTTGCTGAAGGGGCTAAGAAATGAAGCTTCTGAATAGCTTCTGACCTATGAACATTAACATTCACTGAGTTACAACCTTAGTTTTAGAATTTAGGCATGTGCTTCAGTATGTTTTAAGATTATACTATTAAGGGGAATGTCTAACTTGTACTTTATTACAGTTGTAATAGATTTCCAAATATTAGTGTTAAATCTGACGTCTGCAGAACTTCAAAATAAAATCACATTTTTTTCTGTGTTTAAGAAAGTTCTGTGTTTCTGGCATTCTGTTAAAAAAAAAAAGTATGCTGCTAGTTTGTTGTGATCATAAAACATTTCTGTTCTAAAGATTTTTAACTTTTTGAAGACTGAACAGAATGTAAGTCATGAAAATTCAGAATTATTTCTTTCATAACCAGCTAAGAAGTGCTCAAATTCTGTTTTTTAGAATTATTGACACTGCTCATGGCTATAATTCAAGTTGCGAAGACAAGGGGTGCATTCATTTGGGTGTAGGCAGATAAATTACTATGACAGCAGTGGGCTATTTCTCCAGAGATGTATAGGTCCCATTATTTGTAACATGAGAATTATTCATGTTTATGTAGCGCTGATAATTCATCATTTGGGAAGGAAAAGTGTGGCAGTACTTTAAGGGGGGGTGGAGTGAAGGTGGTTCGTAGGTGGTGATAGAGAAGCCAAGTGTAGATTGCTATATGCAATGGACTTCCAATTTTCAGCAACGTTGAAAAGTCCTACAAGACAGCATCTTGGTACACTCCTGATCCACAGGTGTAGAATATTTATCTCCTCGTGCAGAAAAACAGCTTGTTCAATAATACCTTAAATACGTGCAAGTGTTGCCTTAGCACACATAAGTAGTACTAAAAGCAATAGGAAGATAACACTTATTTAGGCCATAGTTCTACTTGTGCCATAAATTTTTGAGGTTGGTCAGACTGTGTGTTGTTACTCTTTAGTGCTTGTCTGATTTTGTCTCTGGGGGTTTTTTAATCACAAAATTTGGGAAAGTGCAAAGATTGTGTTAGGAAGGGCAGAGCTCAGCTACAGTCAAGACTTGCATGTGATGTCGTGGGCATTAAGAAGAGCATCTACGACTCCATTAGTAATCAAAGGCTGGATGAAGCTGAATGAGTGGGACCGGTGACTTAGTGACAGCAGATAGGGCTGAGATCACCTCTGTTCTTCCCCTTGCTCTTCACAGCGAGGTCTCTCAGGATGGTGTGCTTAGAGAAAGATGAGGATTGGACTCAGGGATTACTTTAGAGAATTCTTCTCATACAAGTCTGTGGGACCACATGGGCTGCTTTTCCAAGGGTGCCGAGAGTCCTTGGAAGGCCGTTCTCTAGTGTCTGTGAAAGGTCATGGAGATAGATTACAGGAGGTACTTGAGGATGGGAGAAATGCTGCAGCCATATTTAGAAAAGGGTAAAAAGAACTAAGGGAGAAATGACTTTTTTTGCATGTGGTGTGGAATGTAGTTAAAGAGTAGGTAGAGTAAGGCAGGATATTGAGGGTCAGGCTTTAGTAGTATTCATGACTTACTTTATGAATGTGAAGTCAGATTTGACAGATCCAAACTGAACATAATAAAAATGTGCATATTTTAATTACCTCTATAAGAGCAACTGCATTAATTTTGTGTTCACTCTTGTTAAGGTCTTGGATCCAGAACAAAATCACAGTTTCACCGATCACTACTTAAATGTAGCCTTTGATCTGTCCCAAGTCCTTTTTATAGCTACAGCCAACACTACAGCCACGATCCCACCTGCTCTGCTGGACAGAATGGAGATTATTCAAGTCCCAGGTAATGCTACAGTGTTTTCCCTGAAGTGGTTACTCCTTAAACAACATTGGGGTGTTTTTCCTGAAATGAGCAGCAGTTCCTTAAGGTAAGACTGCCAGGAATCTAGACTAAAAGAGACTAGCCAGGATGCCTCCATTATGGCCTCTGTCATGGGAATGAAATTTAGCATGGCACTTAAGAAAATTCAGTTCCAGCTATTTGGAGATACATTGATACATTCTGTAACAATGCTTTCACTAATTGATGTGTTAGTATTCTAACTGGCTGTTGGCTGATATATCTTTTAAAGATTCCAATGAAGAAAGAGATCTTTGAAACAGTAAAATTCCATTCTTCTTGTTCACATGAAGTTATGAGTAATCACATTGTATCATACCAACAGCCTTTTAAATTATAGCTTTTTTTTTTTTTTTTTGTTGAATACAGTCAATTACAATTACAGATGGTAAGAAGTGTAATTATACTGTAGTGTATAAGCAAAGAAATTAGTAAATATATGCTCTTTCTTTTGAAGGGTACACACAAGAAGAAAAAATTGAAATTGCACATAGACACTTGATTCCTAAACAGCTTGAGCAACATGGCTTGACTCCACAGCAAATACAGATTCCACAAGTAACCACTTTGGACATAATTACCCGGTAAGTCTGTTACTAGTTTAAGTAACTACTTTTTCTGTAACCAGTAAATCAAGTGATAACAAAATATTTCTTAAGATCTGTTGTCCTTAATAGCTTCGGAAGTTCAGCGATAGGTAATTTATGGAATTGTTCTTTTCCTGAGCTCTGTCTGTCTCTGCTGTCTAAACCAAATCATCCTTCCTTCCCTGGAGATTTGTTTGATCTGGTTCTCAAGGTGTGACTCACGGTCAGTTGTGTTGACACAACCGGCGAGGCACTGGAAGCTGGTATTTCTGCAGTGTTCAGTGTGTGAAGCCATGGTCTTGGCAGCAGACAGTCTGTATTTTAAAGAATGAAGCTTTACTTCTGTCATCTTCATAGAAAGAATGGAAATTACCATTTTGTTTCTTGGGACTTGATGGGCCATATTAGTCTAAAATTTGGAATTAGGTTACAAAAATCAAGTGTGCTTTTTTAAATAGCTTGTGTTAATTAGAACTACTTTTTGTTGGATGTGAGAGCAAAGATACTGATCAGAACATCTTTTGGATTTGAAATTACTTCATTTCCAATGGAAAAAGGGTATCAGTATTCAATAAATGGAATGATTTTGTGACCAGAACAGCATTTTGACATTTAGTAAGTGTTAACTGCCTAGTGTTTCTTTTTAATTCACAGACTAAAAGGAAATATTCTTTTAGAGTCAGTTCCTCAACTTTCAGTGAGCTATATTTTGAGTTTTTAAATAGTTCTTCATTTTGATTTTTATGCATCTGCAAAGGGCTCAGTGCTATTGGAGCATGTTTAGCATTTCACTAGTGCTGACACCAGGTGTTAGTCCTGTTGTCTTCCTACTCAGTAGTTTGTCTTTCTTTACAGTTACATCAGCAAACCTCCACTACTTTGCTAAAAGCACATGCCATTTTTTTCTTGTTTATTAGCATAGCCCATGGTCTCACTGCCCTTCGCATTCATTTCTTTGTAGGTACACTAGAGAGGCAGGAGTCCGCTCTCTGGATCGGAAGCTAGGGGCTATTTGCAGAGCAGTGGCAGTGAAAGTGGCCGAAGGACAGCACAAAGAAACAAAGCCAGATCGCCCCGAAGTGGGTGAAGGAGAAGGTGCGTATCTTCCGCATGTTGTATTAAAAGGGAAACTTCTAATGTAGTTGCTAGGAAGCTGATTTATCAACCTTATCTCCTTTATATGCTTCTTCAATGGCTCTGTTTTTAAAAGCTTTGCAGATAGAGCAACAGTCTCGTTATGCATAGTTCAGGTAGTGCTGAATTACGGCCTGGGACATAAGGAGAGTAATTTCAGCCTGTCAGGTTGGTAACTGAGAAGTACAGTGGATCTGTTTCATATCTTAGGTATCCTATTAAGATTTGGGTATGTTTTAGGCTTTTTTGCACAAATCTCTTGCTTTTTTTTCTTTATTAAAAGTTGAAGCCTGGCTTTAGTTATTGAATTCAAAGGGATTCTGTAACTGTGCTGTGTATGCTCTACAGAGCTCAATTTGGTTGTTTTGTTGTACTCTAAATTAAATGTCTGCTTGAAGAGCTTTAAAATTTTAGAAAGGTTTAGGGGCTCTCTTTCTGTGCCTTTAAGACTGCACTTATTCTGAGTCTGTTGGAGCTTGGGTAACGTGTCAACTTCAGCAAATCTGTTCATGTCTCCCACCTATACAGACAATAGTGATTTGTCATTCCCAGTCAACAGACTGAACATAAAATTCTCAAACAGCAAAAATACTCAGGTAACTGCTTCACTAGGAGGGGTAGACCTCTTTCTACTCTTGCAGTGGAATGGGGGGAGGAGAAGTCAGGCCTATAGTCCATGTGCAACATGGAACTGATGACTGCTCCCTGTTTCATCCCCAAATTAATGTTCTCTTCAATAAAAATGAAGTTGAGTATCCATACCGTGTTTGGTGAAGCATACCATGCAGAGCATAGGCAGTTTATTCAAGGATCTTCACTGCACACAGCAGTTTTCTGTTGAAGGTTTTAGAGTGCTCATTGCAGCACTTGATGTCTGCAGGAGCTCAAGGTAGATGAGAATGTGAAAGGACAGAGTCTGAACTTCTGAAATGTGCATGGGCCTTGTCTCAATAAAATCTAGCAATCAGGATGTAGGGTGTGTGTTTGGTTTTTTAAAGATAGTCTGTCAGAGAACAACCGTGTGCCAAAGGATGCTGGAAACCAAGAACTGCAGAATGCCTGCTTGCTTTTGCTCCAGAAATGTTCACAAACTTAAAATACTAAACAGACCCCTGTTGGTTTGATGTCGTGAAGGATTCCACAGCTAAGCTGATGTGGAAAAAACCTCTAAGTTTTGACATGTGTGCAGCTAGCTGGGCTGGTTTAGAGGAGGACAAATAAGGACACTAATTATCTGTTCCCTTTGAAATAAGGCAGCTTTCAAGTCTGAATAGTTCCTTCCCCCCACCCCCTTTCAGAGAGTAAAATCTGGGAGAGGAAATATAACTGAACTTTGTACAAACAGTGATGTTCATTAGAAGAGTATATGGAGAAGAGTTTTACCCACAGTAAAAACTTCTGTAATTTGTCTCTGGAAATCTGCTTATTGACAGTCTTTCCCCTTTACCTTGCCTTTTTTTCCCTAACTCAGTATTTCCCTTCTGAACACTAAATCTTCTTTTACCTGGTTGCGTTTTCTAAGATCATCATAATGCCTGTGGAAACTGTAATATCAGAAGATTGAATTGGTCTACAAATCAGTGTTTGCTTAATTGGATTCAGCTCAGTTTTCTCTGAATGTTTGGCTTTAAGAAAGTGAACCCTCTCAGTAGCAGTGGCTGTGCATGCATGGATCTCCGGGCAGTTGAAACTGTCCCATCTACATTAAAAGGAAGAGCTTTTAGGACATATTTATTAATGCATTCCATTTTTATTGTGTGCCTCTTGTCTACCTTCTCTCCTTTGTGCTGGGCTTTTCTGAAGTCAAACACTGACTTTGTTGGTATTTCTGTGATGCCTAAACTTGCTCTTGAACCAGACCGCAGACCCTTTAGGCCGTGGTGGCCAGGCCTGCCAGCATCCAGCACGACCAGATGCCTTTGCTTTGGTCATTTTTTTGGTAATGTTCTTGACATGTCACATTTTAAAAATATTGCTTTGCGCTTGAAGGGTACCTGTGTCTAAAATGTGTTTAAAAGGTCAAATGTGATTGCTGAATAAAGGAAGTGTCATTCTGCTCTTCAAGCCTTCTGATAAAACAAGTAGGTTCAGAGCACAACTCCTGATACTGTAAGAAGAAATGTTTTACTATTAAAGCGAAGAACAAAAAGGAACTGTATTAGACCTTTCAATCCAGTGAGAGAGGTATTTACAGTGTTAAAATTAGCACTGTACTTGCAACTTAGGTATTTACACTGTTAAAATCATACACTGTTAAATAAGTACTGAACTTGCAGCTTGCCAAAGCTGAGTGAAAATAGCCAGCTAGGTGCTTCAAAAGAGGGCAAAATGCTAACTTTTTTGGTTGGCACACAATTTGGAGTAGGCCCAGAGGAAATGAGCTGTGAAGAGTTGCCTTTGTGCTTCTGGAATCCAAAGGTTTGGTGAGACAAACCTGTGCGAATAAAAGGGAGTCCAGTGGACAGGTGGCTGTATAGATTAGCCACAAAGAGGTATAGAATGGGGCAGTCTGCAGAATGTGGGGTTTTTGGTGCTAATAATGTGCTTATGCCTTGCTGTATTTTTAGCAGAATATGTCACTTGTTGGGAGTTCTTGAAAGTAGGCTAGTCATTTTTAAAAATATTTTTGTTCAATTTTCATTCAGTCTGTTGGAAACAACCAAGTATTTAAAATAAAACTCGGAAATATCCCCAAATACTTGCAAGTTGATGCCAATACTGGGATTTGTAGCCTAATTTTATTTCTTTGGATTTTTTTTTCCTGTTGATTAGGAGAGGTTTGTACAGTTGTGCATAGTGATGATGAATTTTTGTTTCATATAATAAATGACTCTGGAAGAATAGTTAATCAAGCTAATAGTTTCATTTAGAATCATCTCTCTATTTTTCTTTTTTCTTTATCTGTATAAAGAGACCTATAATTCAGTTTTGCTTTACGCTTTTGTCAGTTACTGCTGTGGGATTGCGACTTCCCACTTAGTGCATTCATATGGCCAGAGCTGGGAAGATGCGAGACAAGCTACAGGCTTGTCGTTAGACTGTAGCTAGCCAAAGCATGATTTGCATATGATTCCAAGCAGATCAGAGTAGGAACGTGCTGCCTGCTGTGTTTCTTCAGCCAAGTGCCTTCTAGCTTGTGGGTGTGTAAGAAAGGGTGAAAGACATTAGGTGGTAAAACCACAGAATGTCCATCTTTATATTGATTGAATCAGATTATTTACTGCAAGTGGAGCATCTGTTTTCAAGGCTTTGTAAACATCCGGCTTTTGACACCGTTTGATAGGTTTCCTCCACTTCCAGAGCCTACTACCGTGGCAGAACTGATGGTAGGACACGTGTTGTCAGGCTGCGGTGAGCACTTTCCCAAATGCATGACTGAAATGCCCTGGCAGCTTTGTCCTGCCTTCCCCGCTCCTTTGACTCCGGAGCCTCACCATCACGTTGGCAAGTGGAGGAGTGTTAGTCAGCATCAGTTATTGAATTTGTCCAGTGAACTTCTGCAAAAGCCAACGGAATCGTTTTTCAGACCTCTCCAGGGAGTCATCCTTGTGTACAGTAACACCGGCTGGTGTTTTACTGCAACACTATCTAAGATTTATGAGACACTCATCTAGTCTTTGACACCAGAAGAAATTCTAGGAGTCACAAAAATATGTGAAACTCTCCTTCCTATTTTAGTGCAACTGCCTGGAGAATACAGTGCAGCAGCTGTGCACTAAGGCATGGAGTGCAGCTGACCCCCGGCGTGAGAAATGATTTGTCTAATTCTGACATGAGAGAGGGCTTAGGAAAGGTAATAATTAATATCTAAAAGTGATTAATTGAGGGGGCCATCTATGTTGAAACCAAGGCTTTGGTAAGGCTTAATTTCCATAACCCAGTAATACAGTACAGTTTGTTCTGCTCCTTGTGGGTGAAACAACAGTTGGATTTGAGTTTAAATGCAAGTTTGACTGAAGTGCTCAACGTGAACTGACACACGTAGTCTTTACACCCCCCCTCACCTTGGGCGTGATGCGCTTCACTCACAAAACATTTGTGTCCTTGGCTGGGGGGTGTTGCTTGTTTATGGTATGTACGAGGGCCTTAATGCAGCGGGGCCGACATCACTGCCCTTGCAAAAAGTGACCTGTTCTAGCCACAGCTCGGCACTTTCAGCAGCACAGGATCTCCCGTAGCACTGGGAAGGGAGTTTATGGAATCTGATCAGCATAAATCCCGCGGTGGTGTGTCTGTAGGCACTCAAGTTGGAGCTCAGCTGTGCCGGTGTTAGTATGCTTGTCAGCTCTGCAGGCTGTCATACGTGCTTCTTTCTAAAAATTGCTTGGAATGTCTTTTCTAGTTTAGACCAGAGAGGCATACATGTTATAGAAAAATTGGGTGTATATACAAACTATTTTTTTTCCTGTGTTATTTTATCTAAATACTCCTGCAGGAAAACCTCCGTTTCAAGTGCTTCAAATACATGTTGATACTCTACATCAATATTGGGGCAATGTAATTATTTTGTGAAAAGAGAAACATTCTGATCCTGTGGGGAAAAATGCACATAGCATTAAATTTATGAGTAAATGTTAGTAGGATTGGGGGCCTAGGAAGGAGCTCTTTTCCAAAAGAAAACCTTTTGGAAGTAACACTGCCCAAATATGTAGTGCCTAAGATTTAAGTTGGACAACGGGAAGTTGCTTTTAAGATGCAGTTTCATGTTCTCTCTGGCTTTGAATGTGGACTGTTGTCAACAAGGGCAACCCCATCCTTTCCTACCTCCGTGTAGTTTTGTGGGGTCAGTTAGTCTGGAGGGGCAGAAGGAATTGTGGGTCTGTCTGCAGGGTGCTGAAGCATCTGCTCGTACATCAGCTGAGGAAAAAGAACGAGCCATTTTCCCTTTAACTGCCCACGAACCTGAAACCTTTTCTTTCCTGCTCTTGTACTTTCTTACAGCTCTCCATAGCAATTCAGCAAATCGCAATGTGCTATGTTAAAAGCTGGGTTAAAATTTTAGGTTTCCTGTATTCTTCTATCTTGGCCAGTAAGTATGGCTAGAAATCTTCTGAGTTTAAGACTTAAGTATTACTAGTGCTTAATTTAAATATCTTTGATGAGGAGCTGAGAAACTGCTGCATGTTGAGGAAGTGTTAGGCTCTTCTATTCACTCTTTTCTGTTATATTTCTAGAAGAAAGTGGCAGCCTTAGCTTCTTAAATATTTCTTTGTGCCATGGAATTCCTGTTTAGATTAAAACCTGAATTATATATAGTAGTTCATTGCCATTATGTTTTCTTCGGAGTCCCTTTTCTTACAGATCCACTATTTACGTGCAAGGTTTTGTTGTGGAAACTTGCAAAGGCAGATTCCTGTGGAACATAGTTGTGATCTTGGCTGAGTAGCTGCAGATTCTGCTCTGAACATTTTACAAACATAATCTCCTTTTTTCAGCTGGTTGGTTGGTTTGGAAATTTTTGTTGTTTTGGGGGTGGGCGTTGGGGTTTTTTTGTATTTTTAGTTTTTCCAGTTTTTGAATGTTAATACCACCTCAGCCCCACATTACTTATTATTTGTTCAAGCAGTAATGTAGGGGTAGATGGGCAGGTGGCTCCTCAGTACAGGATGGAGCTCTGTTAAGGGCACTTCTTGCACTTTTTACCTTATTTCTCCAACTTAATGCAGAATGATTAAGCTATTGTCCTAACCAAAAGTTCTGTTTCTGGAAATTTGAATGTAACTGTCTTGTTTTAGATAAATGTGTCACTTAACTTGTACTATGGCTTATGGTTAGTCCTCTGGGATAGGCAGGGAACACGTCTTTGTCATCATGAATGGAAATCTTACTTGTGTCTGTCGAATTTTCATAGTCAGCGCTTCTATAAAGGTGCCAAAAGATGATGTTGTTTTCCTTTAAAGAAAAAGTTAGTGTTTGTAATTACATTTTGGAACATCACTATATGCTTTTATAGAAAATTATCTAATGTCAGGATTTAGGTTAATATTTTTAGGAAACATCTGGAGTTTGTTATTGTTACGGAATATAAAATGGATTATGCTAATTAGGTTGTATAAACTCAAAGAAAAAGCTTCTGATTCTTTTAACAGGGCAGGCCTCAAAAATTACCTACCAATTTGTTTACCCACGGCCTGCCTCCTTCAGCTGTATGCATAGAACTGGGTGAAATAAAAGCAAGCCGAATGGAAAATTTGTTAGGTGGTAAAACCATGGTGTGGAACAAAAGCTGTTGCTTTTAAACTCACTTTTGTTTGTCACATCAAATCACTTGGGTTTTGAAGATCCATAGGGTTGCAATTGCAGTCTGAGTTGTAAGAACAGCGTGCAGCGTTGTGTTTCATAGACATGCTAGTATTTATGTATTTGAATTTCCTGTGTACAGAAACAGTAGGTCAACAAAAATATGGAGACATGCTGGAACAACAGGAGGGCCACCTGACGAGGGTGGTGCTTACAGGGAAGGACTGGGATTTATGCACGGAGCATGAGTTGTACAGTGGAAAGATCAGTGGCTGTTGGGTAATAACTATTGGATTGGAGTCCCAAATGAAAGCTGAGTTAGTGCTATTATGGTAATAGTGATGTAGAATGTTTTCCTAGTTCCTGAGAATTGCCCTGCAACAAAATCAACTGTAAAAAGGCCTTTGTATATCAGGATTAATGAAAGGATGGTTTGTCTCCTGTGAAAGGTGACATTCTCTCTTCATCCAGTACTTTTACAGCACAGAACATCTCATAATATTAAACAGCTTAGATCCGTGATTTGTGTTTTCCTGTAATTGTTTAGACTTTTGGATTTTCAATTATTGTGCATGCACTGATACGCAGAGTGAGACAGTTTCTTCACTGAAAGTAAAAAAGAATTCAAAGAAAGGAAACAACAGCGATAGTTTCCCAAAATACGGTGCGGAAGTCTGGCAGCTCAGTGTACGTTCCTGTGTGATACAGGCTCCCGGGTGAAGTCTGTCTAAGGCTGGTGTACGTGGGGTGGGACGAAAGATCTTCACTACATATGTGTGTACGGTGCTTTTCTGAATGGCAGCCCCAGGGCAGGGAGGCACTGCCATCAGACTGCCACAGAGCCTTGGAAACATCTGCATGGTTCTTTTTCATTTCTCTGAGAGCTATTTCAGTAAAATATTGCTTAGGGCTGTTGAAAATGACAATAAGCCTTTTGCACCTGGATCAAATTCTGTGGGGAAATGACTCCCTGCTTCCATTCTCTTTCTGTGTGCAGCCACTTCAGTAAATGTGCAGTGTAGGCCTAGCGTAGCCTGGTTTAAAACAATTTGGAGGCTTTGATATTTATATGGTCCCCCTTCCAGTTCACTTTTGTATAGAACACACATGTGGAGAGAAGACAGGAATGCTAAGGAAATGGTTGTGTAGATAAGAAATGCACTCTAAACGGCAGAAGGAAAGAGCACATTTCTGATATAAAGCAATAACTATTGCTTTAACTGTGTGGTCCCCTCTTGATGATGCTCGAGTATGTTGCATTCAAAAGTGTCAGGCTGATTGGGTTTTATAGCCCTTCCCGAAGAGTGCATCACACCTGGAGGCATTTCTGAAAATGCCTAATAATTTGATCGTTGAGGGATTTTTTTGCCACTAGTGGTTATTGGTCGGGACCCCTTAGAAATTTTCTTACCCAACAAAGAAAAGAGCAGAGCCCTGTGTAAGTATATTACGAGACAAACCCATAGATGAAGTTGCACTGAAACTGAGGTTTTCCCACTGAGCAAGGACTGTGCGGACTGTGTGCCGACCTGGCCGTAGCACGGTCGAGGATGTCAGATTATGGATCGAGCAGCCTGACCTAGTGGAGGCTGTCCCTGCCTGTGGCACAGTTGTAAACATACATGGAACAGGAGTTGCTAAGCTTTCAGGATTTCCAGGTTCAGCTCCAAGTTCTGTATTACACTACACTGAAGGTGATCATCTCCTACAAACACTGGTGTTATGCACAAATCTGATGAACAGCGCAGAGACCCAAATGAACTTGCTGTGGTTTGTTAATTGGCCTGGTTTAAAATGCTTTTAAGCAAGTGAGTTGCATCTCTGCCAGTGCTCTAGATTTAATGTTACCTTTGCTGACCTGCTAGAACATGTTTAGGCATAATAATTAAATTTGATGCCATATTATCTTTGACAAGGTTTTTGTGGAAGATGATTTAAGCACGCTTTTGTGAACTTTTTGAGCATTCCTTTGAATTGTTTATTTTTCTCTGTCGTGATTGTTTTCATTTCTGTGTCAAGAAAGATGCTACAAATCCTAAATTGCATCTTCTTCCCTCAGATTGCAGAGAGCATGTCACAGAAGACGCAAAACCAGAATCCATCAGTGACACGGCTGACCTGGCTCTGCCACCTGAAATGCCGATTTTAATTGATTTCCATGCTTTAAAAGATATCCTGGGGCCACCCATGTATGAAATGGAGGTAATGTCCTCGTCTGCTTCCGCTTGACTGCTGTTTGTGTCTGGTTTGACTAGTTGTCTGTTTTATAGCTACTGAGTTTATACAGTATCAACTTTCTAAAAAATGTATTAGTGACAGGACTCCGTTTCTCTGTGTCCCACCAAGCGGTTTTTCACCTACAGAAGTTCTTGTTTTCTTGTAATTCAGGGTGCATAAATAACACAAAGGCATGACTTTCTGTTAGCAAGGATGCCTGCAGCGGTGCTGGTGTTTTTTCAGTTGATAACAACTTTGCTGTTGTTTGGGGGATGTTTGGTGGTCTTGGGAAAGGGGCCAAAAGTAGAACCCAGGAATCCTGTCTCTGAGGCAGCTGTGTTAAGGACTGTCCCACATTGTTCCTTAAAGCCAGTCAGCATTTTTGAGCGTTAGAACTACTTCAGTTTGCAGTGCTCAGACATGCTTTAGATAATGTGACTCTTGGCTATTAAAAATGTGTTGTTATCAGTCACCTCCAGCTTCCTAGTACCTGCTCTGTTCCTCAGTAGGCATATTCCAGACTTCCCTCCCCCCAGTCTGTATTTTGCTGCGTTCTATGAAAATGCATCAGTTTACAGCAGTCTGTTAGTTTGGGATTCTCTTTTCCTCCTTTACATAGCAGTTATTCTCTACTTTGCATCAGGTCCAGGTGAACTGACCGAGTGTGAGCAGCATACGTCACACTGGGACAGGAAACCAGTTGCTGATGGAATGCTAAATTTTACTGTCTTTATCGTGAAGATCAGTTAACCAGTAAGTTATGGAGAAAACAGAAATGAAGGGAAAACTTCCTGAAGAGACTAAATTCAAACTTTTAAGAAGTTTCCTGTGATAACTGTTTTCTCCTTGATGAGAGAACCAGACTCCAGTGAGATTTGGAGGATAGAAAGGGGACAAGATCTGCAAGGCAAGCAGGAGGAAATGCATGATTGCTGAGGCATGAGACAGTTGTTAGGCGTGAACTGAGGCTTTCAGTGAAGAGACAGAAATGAGGAAACAAGTTGGAAGACAACAGCTTACAGGTTACAATAAAGTAATTTGCTCCCTTGGGTCAGCTTTGTCAGCTGTCCAGGCTGTGTCCCCTCCCAGCCTCTTGTGGAGGAGCAGCCGGGAACACAGGGGCAGTATCAGAAACTGAAAGAAGTCCTTGAGTTGACATAAACATTGCTTGGCAACAGCTGAAAACATCAGTGTGTTATCAACCTTCTTCTCAGCACAAATCCAACACACAGGCTCAGATTAGCTACTGTGAGGAAAATTAACTCTATCGCAACTAAAAGCAGCACATTGCTCTTCTTTATTGTAAGCAACTTAGGTTCTTTCCTTTCACCCCTCGGAAGCTGCTATGCCCATTAAAAAAAATCCCACAGGACAATTTTAAGGTCAAGTTAATGAAGAAGTTAGTGTGGATATGCTTCATTTTGATTTAGAATGACTGGCCACCAGACCATTTGCAGTACTCCAGTGGATGTTTTCACTAGCCTATCTTTTCCTCACTACCTGACTTTTAGAAACAATTACTGAAAAATAGAAGGTGGGTGTTTTTCCAGCGAAATCGCAATGAAAATTCAGATAGAATGTTAAGTATGTTACATACTTCAGACGTCTGGTGTTCCGGGCTAAAGCGCTGCAGGATTGTTTGTGGGTTTTAGTGCTTGAATTGCAGGTGCACATAAAGCCATTGGAGCAAATGGAACTTAATACTCAAGCCAGTACTCCGATTTCTGCAGACACTGTTTATTAGTTTCATAAAGGTGCTAAAAATAAACTGAATTTTGTAAATTTGTACAAAAGTTCTCGTCACTTGGAACTGTATTCCGAGTTCCCAGTGAAGGGTAGAATTAATTCCAATAAATACGAACTTACACTTTTCAAAAATCAGGTTGTGGGCCAAGAAATACGCTAATAGGAGACTTTCCTCAGATGTTCTCTCTACTTTTGAACTTCTTCTGGAGTTGATTATTCATTTAAATTTGGTAGCATGGCTGTGTTGGCAAGTAATTTCTCCAGTTTCGTCCTTTTTCTACAGGAGTAAGTAGTGCAAGTAAAATTTTTGAAGTGTGGTTCTTGAGTCCAGATAGATGAATACGTGCGTGCTGGACTGGGGGTTTTTGCATGAGCAGTTGCCCTGAGCATGCAGACAGGTGCTTCGTAGGTTTGCTGCCCGGTGTAAGCTGAAATAAGAGCGACTGAAGCTTTTGACCCATGTGTTGAAGGTTTTTTCAACATTTCCGTATTCAGCAGGCAAACTGAGTAGTGCATAAGTAGAACTAGAGAGGAATCCACACAGCATCAGTTCCCTGAGCAGCTCAGGATTTATTTTCATGTGCTATTTGCTGTATTTATTAATGAGTAAATATTTTTCCATACACACTTGATGATTTTTTTCAATGTAAACTGCTTGGATAGCCACCTAACTCCTGTTCTAATGTACTTTCCCAACTAACCTGTAATTCCTTGGAATTTTCTCAAGTACCCCTGAGAGTCTTCAGATGAAGAGTGCAGCCCCTGTCTCAGTGAAAGGCATTTCAGATAGGCTGCTGGGGTGGTTTCTGGGCTCAGAGTCTGCAGTGTGTCTCTCCTTTCTGTATCTAGCCTTTAAAGCTTCACCTTTGACCCGCATTTTGCCGTTTATAATTAGTTGAAATAAAGATACAGGGGAGGCAGCCACTGTGTCAGTACTGGGATGACCCTGAGCAAGTAGAACTGAAAACAGGACATGAGTTAATTGATCTGTTGGCCCTCAGGGAGCACCTGAAACTGGGTGGTTCATCTTTCGCCTCTTCAGTGCATTGCTGGTGTCCTCTCTGCCGAGGTCTCCCAGCGGAGAGGCGTGACAGAATCCTCAGCTCATACCTGTGGGATTAACTCATTTATCAGTTAGAGAGGGTGGGGAGGCACTGGGACAGGTTGCCCAGAGAAGCTGTGGATGCCCCATCCCTGGAAGTGTCCAAGGCCAGGCTGGATGAGGCTTTGAGCAACCTGGTCTAGTGGAAGGTGTCCCTGCCCATGGCAGGGGGGTTGGAACTGGATGGCCTTTAAGGTCCCTTCCAACCCAAACCATTCTATGATTCTATGATCACAAATAAATAATGTTGTGTGTCACCCTATGGGACAAACGTTGGAACAAGTGACATCGTCAGGCTTTGGAAGAATAATCTTGACAGCGGTTTAAGGTGTAAAAGATGTAATGAAATGTTTTGGCACAGCACGCTCATGGCAGAAGGGGTTTATATATAATGTACCCAGTGTTTAGAATGAAGTACTTTTCTTTTGACTTGGATTTTAACTTTTTTTCCTTCTGGTCAGTTAAGAAAACACGATTGGCACCACAGGGAGGCCCATCAGTTAGTCTGTATTCACATCGTGTGAGTGAGGTTGAAATGGCAGAAGCTCTGGGTCAGGGAAATTCCCTGTTCCAGTCAGTGAAAGAGCAGGTGCCACGAGAGAACAGCTCTGCTTCGTGGGACACCCACGGTCCTAATTAAGGGACAAATCAGGTTATCGCTAAGAAGCAGAACCTGTGCAACCCTGCACAGGTATGTTCAGTGTAACAGGGCGTACTCTGTGTTGTGTGTTGGGGGGCGGTGTGTGTGTGCTTAGGGACTTTCAGAGGTCCGTTCTGAAGACAGTTACCAGAGCTGCCAGGGCCTTTCCTGAGCATGCGCCCGGCAGCGCGCGTCAGTTAACGTGCTCAGCCAATCAGTCACTGTCATAAAATGCAGCGAGGGGATACAGAAACCGAGGTTAACAGAAACGAAAATGCTTGATGAGATGATGTATTGTGATACTGTAGATGTGAAACAGTCTATTATGTGCAACTTTCTTCAACACCAGAAAAGGAAACAGCCACTCTAGCTGAGTTATGCAGGTAACTGCGCACAGAGGGATGGGTAAGCGCTCAGTCAGGACTGACTCGATGCTTGAAGTCCTTTGAAGTGAAGAGAGATTCTTCACTTTTTGGGGAGGGGAAGGAACTTGTGGAACTTTTTGGGGAAGGGAAGGTTTCAAGAATGATACACGCGGATGTTTGCCGTTGCCTTAAGCAAAGTTCTGTACTTAATGCATACCTAGAAGGCAGAATTACGGCTGCATTGGAAACAAAAATAAGGGGCATCAGGCACTAAGTCTTAACTGTCGTGCTTTAAGGGGTACGGTTGCTTTGAGGCAACTCTCAGATGTGTTTGCAGTAGTTAGGACGGCTTCCTACACAGTCTCCTGTGTTACCTCCTCCAGGTGTCTGAACGCTTAAGTCAGCCGGGAGTAGCCATAGGCTTGGCCTGGACCCCCTTAGGCGGCGAGATCATGTTTGTGGAAGCGAGTCGCATGGACGGAGAGGGCCAGCTGACGTTGACCGGCCAGCTCGGAGACGTCATGAAGGAGTCGGCGCATCTTGCCATTAGCTGGTTGCGCAGCAACGCGAAGAGATACCAGCTCACCAACGGTAGGTTGGGGAAACGACGGCGCGTAGCCGTGCTGCGTCGTAGGGGTCGCGTGCGCCATCGCCCTCTTCCCACGGGGATCCACACAAAGGAAGCGTTGATGCTGCACGGAGGTCGTGTGTCCTAAAGCTTGGTGTGGCTCAGTGATTCAGCAGACTGTACCGTTGCTGAGTAACAGCGAAGTTCCTTGTTCTCACTGAGGAGATGCAGTGAGTGTCGCCGTAACAGAGAGGGTTTCCCGGCAGTCAGGGCTACGCTGAGGACGAGACCCATCCTGGAGTTCCTTTTCGTGGTTCTTGTCCCGGTTTCTGCCACGCTGGCAGCCTGGCAGACAGGTCAGTGTGGGCAGAACGTGAGTTGTCGCCATAGATTTTCCCTCCCTGCCACAGCCTGGATGGCTGCGGGCCCCCTCCGTGCCAGGATGCTTCTCCGTGCTTGTGCCAGGCGCTGCCTCTAACTCATTTTTACCTTCCAGCTTTCCAGCAGTACTTTCCTCGTATGGATAGAGGTGCACAGTCTGTAGTTTTCCCTTAAATTAAGAGAGTTTCTGTTAAAAGTAGGGGTTTGTAGTCTAAGTTTTAATGTTTTGAGAACTGGTTTTGTGAGGCTGCTGAGGAACTGCAGTGCAACAGGCCTTCAGCCAGGAAGCTTGTAACCCTCTTGTTTGTTGTCGGAACCTCCCAAGGGTTCTGGCAGTGGGATTTTGAGTTGGATCGTCTGCTGAATACTCAAATAATTGTCCCGTATCTGTCATTATTTGTGGAGGTTTGGATCGTTAGGCAGCTGAATTGCATCAGCGTACGAAGCGCCGCTGGCGTCAGCTCTACGCGCGCTTCCCTCCCTGGCTTACACCGCTACGTCCTACGGGCTGAGTGAGGGGAAAAGATGGACACGAGACTGACTTTGTCACTCTGCTTCGTGCTGGGCTTCCGTGGGGTGCTGATTGCCTGCAACGTTCTCTGAAAATCGACATTTATGGCTTGGGACATAAAACCCCTAAAAAAATTCCATGTTGGAATTTCTTGGTTTCTCCATTAATCCCGACATTCACAAATGCTGGGCTCCTCGGGGAACTTGGTACAGTTTTGTCTGGGAATCTGGCTGTGGGAAAGCGTGGCCTTTTCTGGTTGGTTGGTTTTTCTAAGGCCTCTGCAGCCTCGTGTTGTTTTTTCAGCCTCCCGTTGAAAACCAGGGCTGGGGCGTGTAGTGCCTGCTGGGCTCTCAGGGTAGAGACCGGGAACAAAACGGGGTTAGATTTTTCACATGCAAACCATTCTTTTGGGTTTTGTTGTTTGGTTTTTTTTTTCCTTTAGCTTCTGGAAGTTTTGATCTCCTTGACAACACTGACATCCATCTGCACTTCCCAGCTGGAGCTGTCACAAAAGATGGACCATCTGCTGGTGTTACCATAGTAACCTGTCTTGCCTCACTCTTCAGCGGGCGGCTGGTGTGTTCGGATGTCGCCATGACAGGAGAAATCACGCTCCGAGGCCTTGTTCTCCCAGTAAGCATCGCGGGAGGGGAGAGTGAGGTCGTACGAACCCTCCGCAGTCTGCGCGTACGGTCTGCTTACAGCCGGGCACACGCGGGCGGGCTCCTTCCGTAGCAGCATTCCGGCTGCGCGGGTGCCCTCGTACGAGACGGATGGAAGCCGTGCTGCTGCTGTCAGGGAAAGAAAGCCCTGTAAAACCCCTGTTCAGAAAGGAAACGTAGAAATCAGAACGCTGGGGATGGCTCACACTAGGTGGGGCAGTCCCTGAGCACGCTTCCTCAGGCTGTAACTGCGGAACTGTCCCCAGGCTCTTTGGAAAGGTGTTTCTTAGGGCTCTTACAGCAACGGCGCAGAGGGGCGGTTCCAGAGTACCCTCTGTGTGTTCTTAGGCGCCGCACGCACCCTTCCTTGCGCACACTCCGGCTGAAGGGCGTTGCCGTGGGGCTTGGCAGAGCACCCGGGGCCAAGGGGAGTGTTCCAACAGTTGTTGTTTAGGCGGAAGTGCTGAAGCAGATGTGGGAGTCAGCGGCTCCTACCAATGACGGCCGAGAGGAGGACGGCGTCGGAAGGGAGCGGTTTGTTTCGTGCAGCAGCGTACACCAGGGATAACGGTGCGGTCGCAGGCCCCGACCTGTGGCACAGTGTTCTGCTGGCTGTCAGACAGCCAAGATTGGACAAGGCTCTAGTGGAAAACAACCCCCCCGGTCAGCTCTGATCCAGTGCAGGCTGCCTTAGCTTCCCCCGTCACTGGCCTTTATGGCACCAGTGCCCAGAGTTGCCGGTTGCTTAAGGTGGGTGCAAACCTTGAGTATCTGTAAGCGCTGACCCAGGCTGTTAGCAGCGACTGCAGCGGTACGAGCATGCCCGAGGCTGCGTCCGCTGCCTGAAAGGGAGCGCTGCGGTCGGCACGCCGCGCTGTCCGGACGGCCACAAGGACTCGGGCTTCGCTACCACCTTGGTCTATAGCAGCCGAAATGCAGCCCCGTGCGCTGCGGTACGAGGCGCTCCCTGCCTTGACAGCATCGTAAAACTACGAGTCCCTTCCTAAGGTGGTCTTGACGTGGGTTAGCAGAGTTCAGGGGGAAGAAGCACCAGCAGCGACGAGCAGAAACGCCAGCGTAAACCCCTCCCTCCGTCTCACCGCGGGGTTTCTGCGCCCAAAGCCACCTTTGCTGGTTTGGAGTGTGGTTCGCCTTCCCCTGCATGTTCTGCTGCACGCCCCCCGCTCCTTACCCTGTGCCATCGCATCCTTCCCCCTGCCCCCCGTACTGCCTTTATCTGGGAAATACCTCCTGGGGGCAGGACTTCTTCCTTAAGAAATACCTGGCAAGTACTGACCTGCCCCCTCCAGATACTCTTGCACCTCTCGGTCACTTCTGCCACGTGTTTGTTGCTGGCTGGTGCAGAAAGGGTGCTGCAGCACAGTAACGCGTTTCCCTCGCTAAGCCTACGAGCTAAAACTAGTGCTGTGCTTTTAGCTGCTTTCCTAAACGGTCGGGGGAGGGAGAACCTGCCGCGGAGACGTAACTCCTGCTGGGATTTGTTAAACCCCACGACGCCAAGGCAGTAATTCCTAGTTTACACCTATTGCTTCCTGCTAGGTTGGGGGGATTAAAGACAAAGTCCTGGCAGCACACCGAGCTGGGCTGAAGAGAGTGATCATCCCTCAACGAAACGAAAAGGACCTGGAAGAAATTGCGGCGCACGTGCGGCAGGATCTGACCTTCGTTCGGGCGAGCTGTCTCGATGAAGTTCTCAACGCGGCTTTTGACGGAGGGTTTGCAGCTAAGCCCAGAGTCGAGCGCTTGAACAGCAAACTTTAGGCAGACGAGCTGAGGTTGCTGCTCTGTCACCTCTCAGATCAGTGACGACCAGCTCGGTACGTATCATGGGTGAGCAAGTTGATTGTTTAAATGGGGGTGTAAATGCAATCAAAATAAAAATATTACTGCAGCAGCCAACAACCCGAACCACGTTTTTATGGGCGTTTGCTGCTCTTTACCATCAGCAGCAAAGGATCTTGAAACGCTCAAGTCCTGAGCTCATCTGGCACAAACGTAGGGAGCTGGTGACGTCTCGCAAGAGGAGACACCCGCAGCCAGGGAGCAGCAGCCGGTTCCGCGAGCTGCGTTCAGGGAACGTGGCCCTGCAGGGGAGTCTGAGAGGTGGGGCTGTTGCCTAAGAGCAGATGGCTGTAGCGCAGGAGTGTACTTCCTTGGGAAACAACATTCAGTATGCTAAGGAGCAGTAGCGGCACAGGAAAAGTAAGGTTTTTGAAATCTAAAGAACATGCTTACGGGGTCTGAGGAGAAGTGGTACGCCCCGAATGAGGTCAGCTCTGGTCTGTAGCACGGTCAGTGCACACGTCTCAAACCTGAGTGGAGGAAACGGCTCAGGAAGAATGGAACCGCACCAATTCCCGTGTAGGAGGGGAGAGAACACGCCAAGGTGCGTGTGTGCACCCTTGGACTTACGCAGCAGGGGCAGGTGGACCGTACGGACCGCTTCATGGGAAGGCCTGGTAACACTCTGTGGGGACAAAGCACGTGTCCTTCGTTCTCACCCCGCACAAACCAACTGGATGCTGGGTCACCTGCGTTCGGAGTTCAGCCTGTAAGAGTTAAATCCGTTTAAACAAGGCTGAGAGAATACTGGAGCACTGAATCCCATCAGGTACTGCTTCCTGTGAAGAACTGAAGGTTTCGGGGAGTCTGACAGTATCCCATCCCAGCTGAGTGCTTTGCCCCTCATCTCCCCTGCAGGTTAGCGGGATCTGTCTCATTTCTACCCCCGAGTTGCATGGTTTTACGCGAGGGTCGCTCCCAAGGGAACAGCCTGTATGCTGCGTTCGCTTCTTCCAAAACACTCGGCGTGCCTACGGCACGGCTGTTGTATCCGTGACAAATGCCTGTGCCAGCAGCAGCCTCTGTGTCACAGGCAGCAGTTTGGTTTCCTTTCCTTTCCCTCGACAGAAAGCGGATTGCGCTGGACATACCGGCCCTGGCAGCAGCACATTCAGTGGGTAGTCCTACACCTGGTGTACAAGAGATCTTGCAGCACTTTGACGGAGTAGTTACCTAACGCGGGGATAAAACCCCTTTTAAAACTTCTCCTCTTCGTCATCCGCTAACTGAGGCCCCAGGGTGCGAGGTGACAAACGGGCTCCTTCCTGCCTTGGAAGTACTCCAGCACAAGTGCGGAGAAACCGGGCAGCACCGGGTACGATGCCCAACGCGCTGCTGGGCCTTTAGTCAACACCAGCAGGAGAAAACCAACCCCCCGAAACCTGACGTGGCTCCCACGACAGTCCCGCGCCAGCGAGAAGAGACGCGCGTGGAATTCCCGTGCCCTCTGCACGTGAACAAATGCTCCTTTTGAACCCAAGTGCTGTGAAAAACGGTTTACACAGCAGTTTCCCTACGGGAGAACAGGGAGTCGCTCCCAAGTCACGCAGCGGGTTTCTGTCTGCCGCACCACTCCAGACTTGGCCGCAGGGACTTCACCTGAAAGGTGGGGGCTTGATGCCACCCTGCAGGTCTGAACAGGCCTGTGCTCACAGCTTGTTCCCACCTGCAGAGCTTGGGGGACTCTGCTGAGATTTCTTTTAAACACAACCTAAGCATTACCCATCGTACGAAACACCTCGGTGCCTCCCTCTGCTGCCACTGAGCGCTGTCCGGAACCACCCGTGCAGCGGCGAGCCGCGACAGTACAGAGCTTTTCAAGTCATTCCAGAACCCAAGGGGTGATTCTGCTTCACGCTGCCAGACAGATGGGCCAGATCCTACCGGTCTCCCTCGGAACGTACCTGCAGTGCTCATGGAAGGTAAGGCTTTTTGGTAACCCGTCCCGCCGGCACAACGGCCGCTTCCCGTGCAGCAGCCTTGAGCAGGAGCTGGGTACTCCACCGGCCTAGGCAGCAACGCGGCCCACTTCTGCTTCCCCTTAAAGCACTGCCACCAACAAAAACTAGCAAGAAAGGTCAAAACAGAATCCAAATATTAATATCCACACTTGTCAAATATCTTCCTTCTAAGGCTTTTTTTAGGGGCCATGAAAACCCATGGAGGTGGCACCCGTGGGAGATCATCCGCATTCCACTTGGCGTCGGAGACAACCCCGAGCACTGGTTCCCAGGGCAGCCGAGCAAAACCGTGCTTTCCGAAATGAGGAGCTAATGGGAAGACAAGGCCAGGCTTCAATACAGCGTTTATTGTAGATAAGGTAGCAAACGGTACAGATCGCTCGGGTGTTTTCTCTTGTCAAAGCCAACAGTCGACTTGACTTACCAGATCCTCTGACCCTTTAGAGGAAATTCAGGCTTCTAATACTTTCAGGGATCTGGGCCCAGGTACAGTTAGTTTAATGGTTCCGTCTCCTGATGGGACACCTCATACAGCTACTTGGTAACACCCAACGGAGTGTTCCTGCTCACGCTGCAGGAAGTCAGCACAGAGCCGTCACGCTGCAGCATCCGTCATCTGCGAGACGTGAAAAGCCGTCCGACCGTACCGCTTCGCTTCTCAGGCTGATAAACGCCAGTTTTGAAGTCCCCTGCGGCAGCACAGTCTGGATCGTCAGCCCCGTCCAGCCCGAAGCAAGTCGCTGCACCATTCCCTGTTGGGCACACAGCACCAGCGGGGCCGTTCCAAGTACAGGCAGCAGCGTCGCACGCTCACATGGCCCTGCTGCTATCGCCAGTCTCGGGCTGCGGCAGCATCCTACAGGGTCTTAGCCCGCTTGTCCTCCAGAACCGGAGCCGAGAAGCAGCCAGCGGCGGCGGGGAAGGCGGCCAAGCCGGCGAGATGGCGACGCAGGGCGTTCCTCTCAAAGCACGGGAATGTTGAGCAGAGGTTCTGCCGCGGGCCAGGAGACAGAGCTGAGGCAAGCGGACAGGCTGAGCTGGGTGACGCTAAGTACCGAACTTAGAAGGCTGCAGGCGAGGAGTTGGAGGCCCGTACGGAAAACAATCCTGGATCGCAGGGTTTCTGAAGCGTCTGCCTACCGTCACAGAGTACACCTAAGTGACATCTCTGCACGCTTCCAGCGGCCTACACACCGCGTTTTGAGGTGAGACTTTGCATTTTCACTACACGAAGCCAACTATTCCTGTCGGATCGTATCAGTCCAATCTGATGGATCTTACGTTCCTTACCTGTAGGACTACTTACCCCTTCACGCACCAAACCAGAACAAGAACTGCTTTAAGGGTCAGCTCCCGGTAAGAAGGGTAAGGCAGCCGATGAACTGTACTTCAGCACGTTACAACCGCAGCCACCAGCCAGCCTGCCTCTCCGACAGGTGCCCGCTCCTGCCGCGCTGGGCAGAGATGGCTTCCAGGAGCTTGGGATGGAAGAGCTTTGCCCCTTACTTGCTTTTCTACCTCTATGCCTACGTGCTGTAGCACAACCACCGCACGCATTCACGGCTAAACTGCTGACGTACAGGCGCTCTGCAGCAAGCCCTGCATCCTTCCCCAGCCGTGGGGGGTGGCACCTGGAAGAGAGCGTTTGCATTCTATCTACGGTGTCGGCAGGAGGACACACGGAAATCGGTTCCGGGCAGGTACCGAAGTAACAACCAACAGGCGAGAAACTGGGCATCAACGTGTCAAACTTTGAGCTAAAGCAAAAAGCCAAAGTTGGATTTTTTTTAATTTGCCAGGTATTCTTTTAATGACAAATAGAAAAGACTGAAAACATCTCATTCTGACTGCCTCTGGAAAAACCCCAAACGCTCTGTTTCTATAATTACAAATACTGTGTAAGACAATACCTTCTTTGTACTGCAAAACCAACACATACAAGGATGCCAGCAAGTGCCTAAGCAGCTCCCGATCTGAACCGGTTTTTTGTTGTTTTTTTTTTTTAAATTTGGAAAATTCTTAATAATGCTCGTTTTTGTCAGAAGATAACTCAAAGTACAACAACATCTAGACCTGTTTTTAAAGGAGCTTTCTTTCCTGGTACATCTTTGAACATAATTGCTCCTCTCGAGTTCAGCACATTCACAAAATAGCTCAATTAAGAACAGTATCACCAATGAATTGACTACTGGAAAGAGACAAATTTACCAAACATACAGAAATAGAAGTTTTACCATAGCAATTATGCATATATCAAAAGATGACACCTGCAATTAATTTTAAAAAGATACAAAAAAAGAGAAAAACCTGAATTACAGAAAAGAAAGTCATATTTATTTAATGAAAAACTAGAAGTTAATAAAAATTAGCAAATACACAAAAAATATACACAAACAGCAGCAATACTATGTAGTGACTTACAAAGGGGGGGGCGGGGGGGAGGAGGGGAAGCAGCGGCCAGCGACCAGGCCGCTCAACATGGCTTGTCAGTCAAAGGGGGAGGAAAAAACCCAACACAAAAACACGAAACAGTATCCTTTTCAACAGTACAATCAATCTACAAACAAGGTTTTCGAATTATTTTACAACATTTCCTGTAGAATCAATTCTTAATACAAAAGATGCCCATTTTGGGTGTATATATATTTTCAGTGGTTTACTGTTGACTTATTTTAAATATATTAGTGTTACTACATGCAACTGCTTCCTGTGATTTAACAGCCTTTCCTTTTATTTACCTTCATACGTGTCTGCCCTCCGCCTAGCAAAGAGTGTGTCTGACAGTCACAGGTGGTTACCCTACTTTCTGCTAAAGTAAATGCAACGCTTTTAAACACTGGCCCGAAGAGGTTCGATTGCCATTTCAACACATGGATATAGTTACGTTGATGCCTAAATTGCCATTTTCTGCAAAGAGCTGTGCAATGCTGGTGTCAAAGACTAGACAGTCACTATTCATAATGGCTGTTGCAATTCCCTCATGAATAGATCGAGGAGTTGCTTCCCAAGTCAGTCGCCGCCTATGACCATTTAACTCGAGTCGGTACGCAAAGTTTTCTGCTTGCTTGCGTGTTCCTATCAGCTGTACAATCGCAAAGAACTGCTGGTGACCATCATACTTTTCCTGTTTCTCCAATACTAACATGAAATGAAAGCCAAAA